GAGTGACAGGTCCAAGTGGGGTCATTACAGACAACTGCCTGCCCTTCTTCCGTGACTATGTTTGAGACTGCGATGTCCCTGGAGAAGGAGCATGCGGTGTACCCCAACACCCTCGATGTCTTTAGGGAGAGGTGTGCACTGTGGGGAGTGGAGTGCTTTATTTCCTCCTCCAACTCTATTTTGATTTGATCTGTACCGTCCCCTTCACTTTTTCTTTCACATAGGCATTGCCCCTATAGGGCTGCGCTTGTCATTGGTTCTTTGGCCACGTGGGTGTTTTTCCTGGTGGTAGAATATTAATAAAGTTATCTACCCAACTGGTGTTTTGACAACACGGGTGCTGGGGAAAATAAACACGACAGTTGTATGGCCATAGTGTGAAGGGAGAAAAGGAAAAAAAAATATAACCAAGAGATGAGATTCTCCCAGTTAAAACAAAAAAAAAGGAATAACAAAAAACATAACCAGGAGATTAGAATCTCTTCAGACCAGGCGACTGACTCTGAGCTGGCTGGCCATGGCCACTGTACTGTGCACAAGTAAACAAAGGGTGGCTTGGTGACAGGATACAGGCCTCTGTGCTGTTGTTTCAGTGGTGATGAGAGAAAATGGGACCTGCCTGAAGAACAGTTGTTTGGAACAGTCATCTTGGAGATTGGGTAAGCATTTCTGGCATCATGCCTTTACTTGGAAACCTTGATTCATTTGATCCTGCTGTGGAAGACTGGGTCCAGTATGTGGAAAAATGGGTAAATGACATTGGGGCAGACAAAAGGATGAAAAGCAATGGGTAATCCTTCTGACTACTTGCAGACCTGCAGCATTTTCGGAATAAGGGGTTTAACTTTCCCAAAGGCACCAGACACTAAAACCTTCCAAGAGTTGACAGAGATTACACAGCGTGGAGCTGGAGGAACACAGCAGGCCAGGCAGCGTCAGAGGAACAGGAAAGCTGACGTTTCCGGTCGGGACCCTGATTTCTGAAGAAGGGTCCCGACCCGAAACGTCAGCTTTCCTGCTCATCTGATGCTGCCTGGCCTGCTGTGCTCCTCAAGCTCCACAATATGTTATCTCTGACTCCAGCATCGGCAGTTCTCACTATCTCCAAGGGTTGACAGAATTGTTTAAGGAATATTACAACCCCAAAGCTCCTCTAATTCTGAGATGCTATCTGTTTTATTCGGTTGTTATAGAACCAGGGGAATCCGCATTGGGATTTTTGATAAGGTTGAGACAACTGGCAGAGGCATGTGATGTTGGGTTAACACTGAATGAGGGACCGTTTGGTAAATGGGGTTAATGACATAACTATGAGGAAGCGCCTACTAGCCCAACTGGACTTCAAACAGGCAGTGCAACTAGCTTTCCCATTAGAAAATGCAGCAACTCGAGCATGGGAACTACAGGGCATCCCAACGGAAGTGGATTCCCTCACGTGTCTCACTAAGCTTGGGGAATGTCACTTGAGTGCCGGCAATCACAGAGCCTCACACAGGGCATATCCTGAGCAGAGGGACCCTAGGACAGGCCACAGCAGAACCCCAAAATAAAGCCGAGCCTTGGCCAAGTGGCTAAACAGTTCTTCAGGATCTGGATTGGCAAGCTATTGTAGTTGCTGCCGGTTTGCAGACTCGAGACGGTGAAGGAGTCCTACAAGACCTGACTCAAGTAAGAAAACTTGTAGGCTGGTACTCAGGAGAGTGCACACCCTGGAAAGTCCCCCTATATATGGGTTGGAACAATTAAATTGCTGAGTGACATCCAAATCAGACTAAGGGGTCTCCTATGAGAGGCACTTGGTGCATTTACCACTGATGGTAGTAAAGTGCTCAGGCCCAAGTCTAATAGGGTGGAATTGGCTGAGAAAAATTTACCTGGATTGGCTCAACATTTTTCAATTAGAAAATGGCTGCTTCAGTGAAGTCCGAGTGAAATACCCAGGAGATTTTCAGGAAGGGCTTGGGACTATCAAAGGGGCCAAAGCCAATTTACATGTTGACCAGGAAGCAATTCCGAGACTTTGCAAGGCCTGGCTGGTGCCATTTGCCTTGTGGGCAAAAGTAGAGGTAGAAATCAGGAGGTTGGAGAGTGAAGGGATCATCAAACCAGTGCAGTTTGCAGATGGGCAGCACCGGTCGTACCGATTGTGAAGCCTAATGGCTCAGTTCACATTTATGGGGATTTTATACAAACAGTAAACCATTTTTCACAGCTGGATAAATACTCTATCCCTCACAGTGAGCACTTGCATGCAAAGTTGGCAGATGGGCTATCCTTTACGAAGCTAAACATGAACCACGCCGACCTGCAACTGCGGCTGGATGAGGAGTCCCAGAAGTACGCTACAATTAATACCCATAAGAGTTTATACCAATATACAAGGCTGCCATTTGGGGTACCATCAGTCTGTGCCCTTTTCCAGCGGACCATGGAGAGCATTTTACAAGGGCTACCTCAGGTTGCCATTAATCTGGGTGACGTACTATTAACAGGGAAGACCAATAAGGAGCACATGGAGAACTTGGACATAGCACTTCAACATTTCTCCAAGGCAGGCGTACACCTTAGAAGGGAAAAATGCATGTTCCAGGCACCCCAAGTGAACCTATTTGGGTTAGAGTTGACAAAACCAGGTTACATCCATTGGAAGAGGAAGTGAGGGCGATCATAGGAACCCCAACTCCCACATCTGTACTGGAGCTTATGTCTTTCCTTAGGTTAGTGAATTATCACAAAAAATTCATACATAACCTGGCCTTCATCTTGGCACCCTTACATCTGCTGTTGAAAACGGTTCAGCCTTGGAACTGGTCACGTAGCCAAGAAGTAGCCTTTAGGGAAGTGAAAAAGCAGCTATCATCATCTAACGTGCTGGCCTGCTACAATCTGAAGTGAGAGGTAGTGCTGCCATGTGATGCCTGCCTGTATGGTATCAGGGTAGTGTTGGCTCACCTGTAGCCCAATGGAGAAGAACACCTGACAGCGTATGCTTCCTGGACTTTGGCTGAAGCCGAATGCAAATATGCCCAGATTGAGAAGGAAGGTTTGGCATTCATCTTTAGTGTGAGGAAGTCCCATTGGTACCTTTACAAACTAGAATCTATACCTTTGAATTAGAATTAACCTCTGTAATAGAGTACAAGTAGTTTTATGATAATATAATCTTATTTTTTAAAACTTTTATTAGTCAAGACTCTCCATGAACTTAATGTTTACAGTGCTGTTATGTATTTAAAATTAACTGTATTACGTATAAAAATGTACAATCATTGATAAAGTTTCATCCAATGGGAAACTGGCACCAATTAAGTAAGTCTGGGACAATGAGCTCAGGATATCTATCATGAGGACATGACAATGTACATCCTCATATCCTGAACACTTGAGTAAGACAGATATTGTAAAATATGTCAACATCTCAGTGAGAAACCATAGAAATAACAGAATTTTGGAGAGGATGGTCTCTTGAATAATTGACATATTAGAAAACTAATCAGGAGTTAGGAGGAAGTGATCTCACTAAAATGACTAATACTCATATCAGGAATTGGACGCACACTGTTAAGCCAATCTGAGATGAACTGTTCATTGACTAACAAGTCAATTAGAATTCAGGGTATCTCTTATCATGCCCATGGGGTAGTGGCTGGTTGGAAAGGTTAATAAGGCTTGGTTTTTAGTCATAGTGTTTAGAAAAAAGCCAGAAAGGGAACTGTTGAATTCACTGACTCCACCACCTTATTGATTTTTGTACTTGCTACAATAAACTTAGTAAATTCTGTGAAAACATACTTGTAACTGGAATCAGTCTTGTAATTAATGAAGATTGGCAGAACTTTAGATTGGCTCTCTTAACCAAATCTATAATTGAAATTTGGGTGATTTGGTTGTGCAGTGGTAGTGTTCTACTTCTGAGTCCAGATGATCTAAGTTCAAGTCCCAGCTGCACTGGAGATGTGTCACTGCATGTCCAAAGAGTGAGTAAAATAACTTTGTGTAATAATACTTACATGAAAATAAATTTGTAATTAACTTACATCTCACAGTATTATGTTACATGCCAAAATCGTACAGTTGGAGAAGAAATCAACTTAAAGTTGAATTCCAGAAAAAGCACGAAAATAATTTGGTTAAAATAGTATTAACAAAACAAATCTTGAGGTTGTTGGTTTGAAGAAACGACTATCCTGCCTGAGTGCAAAGCCAATTTGTGAATTGAAAAGGAAAGAAGTGGAAGAAATCACAAAGAAAACTGACAGGCACAATGTTCAAAGCGAATTATGTAAAGTAAAAGGAATAGGTATGGAAAGGACTTGAGAAAGCTGGATGCTAAAAACAGAGGGCACAGGCTCGATGGGCCGAAGTGTCTTTTTCTGTGCTGTAGACCCCTATTACTCTACGACTGCAGGAGGAAACACTTGTTCTTGAATATAAATTAAAACTTCAGATAGAAAAGCAGCAGCAGTTGTTAAAACTGAATTAGCAAAAGTTTGATCTCAGCTGAATCAAAACAAACAAGAATAAACTGCCTGAATTAATAAGCTAAATGAGGCTTATTAAGCCTTCTTCATCTTTTTGCATTTATTTAAATCACCCTACAGCATCTAAATAGTGATTAAAGATCTCAAAGCAGCTAAATAGGATGTTATTCAAAAAGAAATGAGTTACTTATACAGGTGTGGACAGAATTAAACCTGTGTCTTTCGGAGGACCAATAATATCCAGTAAACAATCTAATCAGTGTGTAAACATTCTCTAGCATAAGTATCGCATAATTAGGTATCACTGGCTAACTCATTTTTAAAAATGATTAATGATCAACAGTGTGGGGGTATTTGACATAAAGTAATGGGTGAACTTTAAAAGTATTTTCTAGCTGTAAAATTTGAGACATTCAGGTCATGAAAAGCACTCAAAATTCAAATTCCTTTCATATTTTTAAATTGTAAATCAATCAGAACTATATAATAGAAACTCCTACTGTCTGTGAAACACACACATTTGGTATCAAAAGGGTTTATTAAAATGTCATTGCGTACAAGCTGAAATGCCCATATTGAGAGAACATTATTTACACTTGTTTTGCACATATCAGTGCATTATTGGGACAGTGATATGCAATGACTCTACACAATAAGTTTATTATAGTTACAAGTGTTGAACAGAAATAATGTAATGAATAAAGCTTATGGTAGATAGATGACTTCAAGCTTCTATAATTCATTCTTTAGAATGTTTCTGGCATTCTTCATATTTGCAATCACTAAAAGAAAGAGAAACAAAGTATTATTGATGTATGGTCAAATTTATTTCAGTTTTCTATCTCTATTGGGCTGTGGAGTTCACAAGATGCCTGTTGTGTATGCCATCAGCATCAACACAAGTCTGAAATCTGTTCTTTTGAGCATGATCTCCTAGAATGCAAATTGCTTGGTTTTATGAGGAGAGAGAGAGAGATTGTGGACCATAGAAGTTATACTAGTAAACTGGAATGTCATGACAGATTCTTAATTCAATCCCAATTCATGCTGTTTCATTGACTGATTAGTGATGTTGAACAGGACAAAATTTAACATGAATGGAACAGAATCAGAGAGTTGTTACAGCAGAGAAGAGACCAATTGACTTATTGTTCCTGCACCAGCTCTCTAAATGAGCTCAGAGATAGTAGGAACTGCAGATGCTGG